CCCCAAAACCCCAAAACCCCAAAACCCCAAAACCCCAAAACCCCTAAATTAAATATTTAAATTGAAAATGAAGTTAAATAATTGGAGGAAAAGAAGAAGTCAGAGCGAAAAGGCAATCTCCCAGAGAAGGAACACCCAACAAGTTGCAAGGTAACTTGAAATATACTAGTAGCCACTGGGATTATAGTCCACGATATTGATTTAAATAATGCAGTTTATAATATACTTCGTATTTAGAGAGGAGTGAAAGACTCGTAAGACCGCTGACCAGGATTCACTTAAGTTGACTTATAAAACACCTGAACGAAAACAGTGGGTAAAATCTACAAAACTTGCTAGTGACTTTAAACAAACCAGAGTGATTCAAAACTATACATCTGCAAGTAAAAGGGTGAAAACCTACAAACATAATTCTCATAATCCTAGAATGAAACTCTGAAATCTTCGAGAAAGACGTAATTGAGTCAAGCACAAATAAGGAGGAGGCGAATACAACTATCTATGGGGAAGACCTAGACTCTAAGATCAAGGAAATTGAGGACATCTCCCTTCAATACAAAGAGAGACACAATCAGACTGAAAAATAAGAACCCTGAACGACTCGGTACGATCAGTGAGAATGAAAAAGCCGAAGAGAATTGCCAATCTGGCACTGAGAAATTTAGCCACAGCTTAAGCAGCCGTAGGTTTGATAATGATATCAATATCTATGCAGATAAGATGAAAAATAGCTGACTCATCGACTATTCAGTATACTCTGATGAGAATTTAACACCTCTTACTCGGTTTGAGGGCCAAGAGGAAGGAAAACGAACTGGCAGATTTCTCGAAAATCAATCACGCAAGAGTGTTGATAACAACAGCTCAGACTCTTTTGAGTCAAATAATGATGATTTCATTCATGAGAATGTAGACTTTGTCAAACTCAAAGAAAGCAGAGAAGCTCTACATAAGATTCAGCTTGAGCTTAATGAGAATAAATGCTTATCTGGACCTGAGAAGTCCTCTCTTTCAAATCAGTTTGACTATATTATGCAAATACTCTCATCTAGGATAACAGAGAAAAATTTGGAAAGAACCCTCCCTGAGTTTAGGAAGAATGAGAGAACCCGAACGGAGAGGAAGAACACCAGCGTGCTTGATATGGACTACCAAGTACTCAGGAATAGCATCAAGAAAAAGAGATATATGCTATAAAGCGGATTTTATATTTATTAGTAATTCAATTTTAAGAAACTTTCGCGGGGTTTTGGGGTTTTGGGGTTTTGGGGTTTTGGGGTTTTGGGGTTTTGGGG